CATGAGGAATTTGATTTATGTTTCTCTGAAGATTTATGAGCAAGAGTAGGGTTTTGCGGCAAGAATTTTGACTTCACTGGAACGTCATAATTTGTTTATCTTCTAATGAAGTCGAAGAGAAGACGTGTGAACAATTACAATGATGATGCACAAGGGGAAGCCATTTTGCCGCCTGAGATGTTTTGTGAAGTTTTGGCAAGACTTCCTGTGGAATCAATTCTTAGATTTAGAAGTGTTTGTAAGAGTTGGTGTAGGATGATCCAAAGTCCATTCTTCATCAGCTTGCAACTGGGTGTGACAAAGAATAAACCATGTCAGTTTATTGTCCAATCACAACGCGAAGTTGACATGAGCAGCCTATATTTAGTTGATATCGAGGATCTTAAGGCTAGGGAGATTCAACTTGAGAAAATTAAGTGCCGCACTCGTCTAAAGTTTAAGCTGCCTGCCCTTGGTGTTAGATGTTTTTGCGATGGATTTCTCTGCATGGCTTCAGAAAAAAGGCTAGATCCTGTCTGTATATGCAATCCAATAACAAAAGAGAGTGTGATATTACCATTATCCAGGTCAAAAGCACATCTCCTCCGTCATAAGCTTGCTTTTGGCTTTGATCAGTCATCAGGCAAGTACAAAGTTATTCGAGACTATAGAACTAGCAGCAACAAGCATCTCAGCAAGTTCCAGATAATTACTCTTGGAGAAAGTTCGTGGAGACAGTTGAATCCCCCACAAAATCTATGCACATCTGATTGGGATGCTGCAGTGTTTTGGAATGGATCTCTCCACTGGATAATAGATGATAAAACTATCGATGAACCTATTCTTGCATTTGATCTAAGCAGTGAGACTTTCTATACCATTCCTTTTCATAGGTTGTGCTTTTCTCATGAATGTTATGAGTTACAGGTCTTGGGGGCATCTTTAACTATAGTGGAACATGACAGTCATATGATTAAAATTTGGGAAGTAGCTGGGAACAAGGTCAAAGGATTTTCTGCCAACTGTAGAGAGGAGCATGATACATATGTATGTTGGAACAAGTACTTTTTCTATAAAACAATTTCTCAGCTTAGCCACAAGAGTTTCATGTTACAGGTATGCATTACAGATAACAAAAATGTCAAAAAGGATTGGTTTACTCGTTTTGTCCCTGAAAAGGCGCTGTACTTCCACCAAGACATCCGTGGCCTTCCTGAGCATTTCAACACTGCCCATTTCAAGCCCTCCTTTGTCTCGCCTAATGCACTCCTTTCAGTTCAAAGTCAGCTTCCTGTGTTAAAGAGCTCATAACTTGGTTTCTGGTGAATGGGGAATTTGATTTGGATTTCATAGTTCCAAACCCGGCAATGCCACATTATGTAGCTTGTTTTTTAACCAAAGGGTGGTGTAGATTGGATGCCGTTGCCATATAGGTCAACTACACAATCAAATACTAATATAGTTCTTCAGTTATTGCAGAATTTGAGACACGGTTGATGTTTATAACTTAAATTCAAATGTGGAACTAGTTGCTGTCCATTCTGTTGTTCACTTTTGTTTCTTCTGTTCTTTGCGAATGGTGATTAATTGTACTATGATCTTATCATGGTTTTGGCCGTGCAATAGAATGTTGTTGGAGGCATCCCATTTGATAGACTATATATTTCACAACTCTTTAGGTCAATACGATTTTGGTGAAAAACATTAGAATTTGACAAATCTACCGGTTCAGTTTGGATTTCATAATTTTTTGTCAATTTTAATTTTTTAAAATTGTATTGTCAAAACCACCAAATTTGATTTGATTTTGGTTTTATAAGCTTGAAACTGAAAAAATTAAATTGAATCTAAATTAAATAAAAAATAAAAAAATAAAAAAAACTAGTCAAATCAGTTGTTTTATAAGCTTGAAACTGAAAAAATTAAACTGAATTTAAATTAAATAAAAAAAAAACTAGTCAAATCAGTTAGTTTGAATTAGTTTTTGTTTTAAAATAATCAAATTAAAATTAGTTGGTTAGAACTAGTTTTATTTTAAAAAAACAATTTGGTTATTTTTAATAAAAAATAAACTGAATAAAAAATAATTACTCTTACTATTATAATGGGTTTGAATTAGTTTTTGTTTTAAAATAATCAAATTAAAATTAGTTGGTTAGAACTAGTTTTATTTAAAAAAATAATTTGATTATTTTTTAATAAAAAATAAACTGAATAAAAAATAATTACTCTTACTATTATAAGTTTCATTTTTATTATATACATGAATAACATTTAAATACAGTTGAGGATCATAAAAAAAATAAGTAAAAATATCTTTATCAAATTTCATAGTCATCTCTTACAAAATAAAAAATAAAAAACAAGTTAAATTTCTAAATTTAATTACATCTCATATTATTAAAAATAAAAAATAAAAAACAAGTTAAATTTTTAAATTTAATTACATCTCATATTATTAATGCAAATAAGCATTATTAAGGTGTGTGCGTGTCTATGTATAAAACAACTCACAATGAACATTTTTACTCTTGTAGCAACATTCTTTTTTTTTTACAATGAACATTTTTACTCTTGTAGCAACACTCTTTTTTTTTTTTTTCCTCTATTCTAATTTCTTATATGAGTTTTCTTATATATCTTTATTAGAATCAATTCACATTCAAGCTATTTTCCCTGCAAATTAAATTATTTGTTAAAAGTCTCACAAATAAATATTTAATTAAAATTTTAAAAAATAAATATACAACAAGCTCTTACAAGACGCTTTGCATAGTTGATACAAGAAATTACTCCTTCGTTATACTAGATCATTAAACCATGAATTTCTTTACTTATGTTTTGTGTAGCAGATTGAGAGTGCTTTCTAAAAGTTTATGTTTCTATAAATTATTGAAACAATGCCCAATTATTCTATAGAGCATATCTTAGTTTATATCTTTTTCATTTATCAATATTATTAGAACTAGTTCTTCTAATTATTTTTTTTATAGGTATCATACCATAAATCACGCAATCTATGATAAAAATTTATTTTAAAAAAATAAGATAAAGAAATTATAAAATACAAGTTTACAATAGTATAACATTAATTGATTTAAACTTACCTAATAACATTCTGGTATTTTCACATTTTTTTGACAAGCACCTCGTTGATCTTATCCAACTAAATTTTTAATTAATTTCATACATTAATTAGTTTTTAAAATTTTGAAAGCTAATAACTTAAAATATTGATTATTTAATTATTTAACTTTAAAATTTTTTTACCAAGCATCTAACATATTCATCCATTTAAGACATTCGTTTAGCTGACTTTATTAAAACAATGATTTTTCAAAAAATTACTTTATTATAGAGGTGATTGAACATGCAAGGTGAACTTGCAAATCATTTCATTAATTTTATTTTCAAGTAAAGTAAGTTTAAATTAACTTAATAAATAAATAATTGTAATGTAATATTGAGATAAAGTATTAATTATCTAAAGAGATTGTCTTTCTATTATGCAATATTTTTTCCTCAAATAAGCTCTATAAAAAAAAATGCTTACTTTGTTATCTTTATTGGTTGAGCCTTGATCTTTAATGTAACAACTTTAATTTTTACAAAAAAAACTTCTAACAAAATATAAAGTCTTGGTTATTGAAACTAGAGTAAATTTTTTTTATAACTTTACTCCTTTTTAATTATCATAACCCCTACTAAAATTTTGATGACATTTCTTCTAATATTTGATAATTTCAAGTATTGATATTAATATAATAACACTTAAATTAAAAGTAATTATCATTTCATTTAATTGAGGATGGCATCCAAAACATAATTAATATAGTACACTGCTAAAATAACGGCATCCAAAACATAATTAATATAGTACACTATTATTTAAAATTAAATGATGATAAAATGAGCATAGAAAACACATTTTTACTGCTTTAAACACAAATTCTTTTTTAGTACAACAATTTCATATACTTTAGTTCACATACCAAGAATAATATTTAAGGATTTATAATTCATAATCTATAAATACAAAATTATATACAAACTCCTCCTATTAACTAAAACAGAAAAGTAATAACAAAAAATTACTCTTAACAATCCTAGATGTAGAACAAGGATTAACAATAGAATATAGTAATTGTCAATATGGATTAACATGACTTCAAAAAATTCTCATTGAATTCATTTCTAATTATAATTTACCTTTTTTATTCTAATCAATCAAAAGATTACTCTTACCAATCCTAGACCTAGAACAAAGATTAACATGATAATATACTAATTACCAATATGAATTAAACATGATTTTAAATAATTCTAAATGAATTCATTCCTAATGATAATTTACTCTTTTTATTCTAATCATTCAACAACTAATTAGGTGGATTTCTATGTTCAATATCTTTTTTAGTTTTTTAAGTTATCTTTCTCCAATGATTTAACAACTTGGCTATCTTACTTAATATCCAAATTAATCAAATTATTCATCATGATACTAATTTATTCAAAAATTCACATTCAGCTACCCACCTTTGTGGTCGCTAATTCTTCAAGCATTTTCATTTAAAAACCAATAAATTCAATAATTCCAACCATATATTAGTCAATCTAGCAATTTTATTTGAATATTAATTATTTTAGCTTTTTTATTTTTAAAGCCAAAAAATCCGGTAATCCAATTAAATATCAATCAATCTGCTAACTCTATTTATGTTTTACTTATTCCAACATCTCCATTTAAAGTCAATATGTCCAGTAATTGTAATTCAATATTAATTGATACAATAATCCTGTTTAAATACTAATTATTTCAGCGTTTCTATTTAAGAACCAATAAATTCAATAATTTCAACTTAGATATCAATCAATCACTATTAAACCCTAGCAAAAAAGAAAAGCTTATAGAAAATATTTCTAAAAAAGTAAGGCTTTACCTGAGTTTAGTGGTGGGTTCACGTATAAAAATACAATTAGGTTTTGCATCCTTACGTTGTACATTAAAAAAAAAAGAAGAAGAAAGGTATCAATCCATGACAGTGGCTTTTCAACTTTCAGTATCAGATGCAGCTCTACTCCACTGCTAGTAAACAATAAGTCAGTCCTTCTTTAATATATTTTTTTGTTCCATCACTTTTTCTATGTTGCCTGCACCCTAATTTCTATCATCTTTCGGTTCACCAGAAAATGAAAAGCTGTGCTCATCTACTTTCATTTCCATCTCATCACTTGTATTGATCATCCCACAAGATTTCTGTTTAGAGTTTAGTCCAGATACGATACTGCGTGCTTTCCAAGTTTTATTTTTTTTTCTAAAAATCCCAGTCCCCCAATTTTCTAGCTAACAAGTATCAAAGAACTAGAGGAGTTTCACCTCTGATGTTCTAGGGAAATAATTCGTGGAGAAGGCAATCCCTGATCGAAACTTTTGCTGTTATTTTCTTGGGAACCAAACAGCAACTTTTTAAGTATTTGGGTGTGTTTTTGTTGCAGAAGGTCAGTCAACATGTCTGAGTTTCTTGAATTCTTAAAGTGTATGCTTTGTTGTGTAGAAGAAAATGAAGAAGATCTCCTTGTAGTGCTAGGTTCAAGGTCAACAAGTAATTCATCAGATGTTGGATCAAGTTTCACTAGGTCTGTGAGAAGAGTCTCTGATAGACTTCTGGGTTCCAATAATTACACATATGTTCCTATATATTCCTGTGATCCACCTCCATCTTCCCCTGCATTACCTCAATCTTCATCAAGACTGCTCTCACCTTCTTCAATTCCAACACCTTCATGGCCTAATCCCCCAACATCATCTTCTAATCAACCTCGATCCTTACATATACCGGCAACATTTTCTTCTAGACCCTCTCCACCTGCACGTTCAACAACTTCGTCGAATGCATCCCCTCAAGCTACAACGTTGTCATTCACATCATCTCCATTTCCACCTCCACTTTCAACTTCTTCATCAAAATCATCCCATAAAACTCATCCTACTGCTTTCCATCCAGCTCCGTCTCCCAAACCACTCCCATCGTTCCTTAAACCAGGATCTTCATCTTCTAAACCTTCTCCATCTTCGCCTAAAGCATCCCCATCTTCATCATCCTCTAAACAGCCCCCATCCTTCAAACCAACTCTGTCTCAGGTTTCCCCAGATTCAATTAATGAGCAGACAAAGGTCAGCTACGTGCGGGTTCAAAAGGGTATGTCACCTATATATGCGATTCCTAAGGATATTGAGGACTTGATCAAGACAGACAAGGTGCCTGGAGTTCTTAATAAACCGCTGTCTCTTTCGACATACAAGGATTATTTTGCAGCACTTCTGTATGCCGAAGACTTCTACATTGAGGTACTGATTAAATGTGTTCCTTTTGATGTACATTAGAGCACTATTTTCACATAAAAAGCTTCTTATGAAAACTTGTTGCCTCAACATTTGAATTGTTGTTCATGATGATCATTGAGAGTGAAATTTTGAAGTAATCTACAAACTGAAATATGAGTGAAGGCTGACCAAACTTTTTCCATGGCTATAGTTTTAAAGGAGGCAAAATGAAGGGCTTCCTAAGGTGCTGAGTGAAGAGTGTAGAACTTCTTATTTGTTGCATTCTATATATAGAGTACAATTTTCTGGTTTCAAATTCCTTGTTTGTGCACTGAGATCTGGATCATTGTGTGCCTTGTTTGAATCAGAAATGGAGTGAATTTAAATTGGAGAATATTACTCTCAAGTTGCAACGTGCAGAAATCATTAAGAAGTCACGCAGGAATGAATACCTCAATGAAACTTATGAGAAGGATGACAAGATCTTTGTAGAATTTGAGATTGACTCTTGTTGTGAGAGGCGGCCGTTTCTTTTGTCCAGAGACTTTGTCTTTGCACGACCTTCAGGTCAAAAGACCGAGCCATGTCAGGTTAGCGTCCTCAACTTTCTAGTTACCATATGCTGTGAAGTATGCCATTTTACTTTGGGGATGAAGCAGATGGTGGAAATCAAGCATCATTTAACTTGAGCTTCATTTAGTGTAGTCAACTTATTGACATCGTTAATGTTCTCAAATTCACACCAGGGTATTATATATCGTGTGGAGAGGAGCACTCGTGTACTGGTTGAATTTGGTGAAGATTTTCTTTTGCAGCATCATTCAACCCGTAAATATGATGTTAGCTTCTCATTTAACAGAGTTTGTTTGAAAAGGGCTCACCAAGCAATTGAAGCGGCGTCAGATCCTTCATTTAGAAGTTTTCTTTTCCCTGATGGTGTCTCCAAAAAGATATTCCCAATCTCTACACCTCTCCACTTTTGCAATCATAAACTTGATGTGTATCAAAGCTCTGCAGTTCGTGAGATTTTGAGCTTCCAAGGACCACCGCCTTATCTTGTTGAAGGTCCACTCTGTTTAAGTAAGTTTTCAAAACAACTATCAAGGACTGGATTGGTAATCCAGGAAGCAGTGCTCCAAATTTATCAAAGCTCGCCAAAGCTTCGGATTCTTATATGTGCACCCATTAACAGAACATGTGATTTGCTGATGCAAAGCTTAAACAATGACATTCCTGAGTCAGATATGTTTCGTGCAAATGCTGCTTTTCGAGAGATAGATGGGGTGCCTATTGACATCCTACCATCGTGTGCTTACAAAGGGGAGTGCTTTACGTGTCCATCTCTTCAGGAGCTCCGGAAATTTAGAGTAATCTTGTGTACTTTTGTTAGTAGCTTTCGGCTGCATAATGAAGGGATAGCTGCTGGTCATTTTAGTCATATTTTTTTGGTTGATGCTTCATCAGCTACTGAGCCAGAAGCAATGGTGCCTCTGGCTAATTTGGCTAGTGAGGAGACATCAGTCATCGTTACTGGTGTACCAGGAAACCATTCAGGCTGGGTTCGCTCCAGCATTGCAAGGAAGAATGGACTAATGACATCCTATTTTGAAAGACTTCGCAATAGCAAGCCATACCGGAGTTTACTTCCAAAGTTTATCACACAGCTGGTTGATCCCGAGAAAGAATCAGTTGGTGATTACAGCTATGCATCTGTATCTTATGACTAAGGTGTTCTTCCATATCTGCAACGCCATGATACTCTTAACTCGTTGGATTTCCTGTAAGCTTTCTTAATGCCTGGTCTTGTGTATATACGAGTGAAATAAAAAGAGAGTTCTTCTAGCCTGGTCTTGTGTATATACGAGTGAAATACAGAGTTCTTCTGTATGTTTACCCAAATTTACCGATTGATGTATTTGTTTGCTTGACTAGAAAAATTCAAGTAGAATAATTTTCTTTCATGTGGTTTATTGCTTTCTGTTGTAGTGCTGTTTATGTGGTGGTTTTGTTTTAATCACTTAAAAAGTTCTTTTTTTATATACTTAAAAAGTAGAGAATTTAAAATTTTGATCTTGGGTTTTCATTGGTTTGTTGTTTATGCCAATAATTTTGAGCATTTGTTTCGGTTACTGCATTTTGAATGTTTTGTGGGTTATTGATTGGTCTTCATCTGCCTGGCTGACGAATACAAGGTTAAAAGCTTTCTCCTGCATCTTGCTTTCTGACTACAATGTTGGTCAGGCATATATGGCCAGTCAGTTGCCTAAGGGGATGCTTGGAAAATTATCAAAGCAAATGCAGACCAGGGCATTTCATGACCAAATTCATGTTTTGCTTTCATTTTTTAGTGTTCCAAAATGGTCTCTGCCTAAACTGTAAAGACAAATTGGATGTAAGGCGTGTAATGTAACATTTTGCCCCTGCCATTGCATTCAGGATTCAGCAAATGGAGTTAAAATCACCCTGTCATATAAGACTTCAGATACAAGGCCAAAACATTCTGCTGTGAAATCAAAGTTATAATTAACAGATTCATGAATTTTGTGTGTGTGTGTGTGTGTGTAAACATAGACAGAGAGGCTTACTCTTTTCTGTCAGTTAGAAAAACAAGGGCTACTTCTCTAACATCTTTTTTTTTTAAAAAAAAAAAAAGGGTAAAGGGAGGTACAAGAAAACTAGAAAATAAAATAAAAGAAATTGTTTCCATTTTCATACAAATACAAGTCCTTAAGGCCAAGCCAATTAGTCTGCACAAAACCTAGGCTCCTGTATTTGATCTTCAATCTCTGACATAAACTTGATTCTATCCTTTGGCAGTGGTTTCTGCGTAGTGGTAGAAGAAGAAGAAGAAGAAGAAGACATAGCAGCAGCAACACAAGAAGAGGTCTAAGAGAAGAAGAAGGTAATGTGGATACAAAAACCATGTTTGTGTTTTGAGGACGGACAAGTTGTGACAACAAAAGTACAAGAGAAGCCACGAAAGGAGGTTTTTTCTGTTGAATGTTTTTTAGATAAGGAAATGAATTTGGACACAAAGGGTGTGTGGCTTGTCACTTATTTATATAGTGATCACTAGTTTACAAGAAAGATGCATGTCGGATCAAATAGTAAATAGCTATTTCATATTATTATTAAAATTTGATCTAATGAGTCTATTTCAAAACTAAGAAAAAAATAATGAAATTAAAAGAAAGAAAAAACACTTCCATGCCCAATTTTCTTGTGTATCTCAAGTTTAAAATTAAATTGTAATTGTGTGAATTATTTTAAAATAATCTAGTCGACTTGGTTAGTTAAAAAATAATTTTATTAATTAATAAAAATAATTTTAGAATGAAATTGAAAAAAAATGATGCAATTAACATAAAAACTTCTAACTTCATTACTTGTCTAATTTGAATTTAAAATTAAACTTTATGGAAGTTATATCGATGTGATTTTATCAACTGATCTAAAAATAATATAAGTTACTATTTAAAAAAATGAGAATGAAATAAAAAAAATATAATGAACTTTTTTTAAAAAAATAAATAAATAATAAACTTCATTGTTGATATGGGTGATATGAGCAGCAAGAGTGTTTAAAAAAACAGTCCATCTATAATATTATCTAATTTGACCTAACCTATTGAAATTAGATAATATGAATATTATAGACGGTAACAGAGTAAAAAAACCTAAGAAGTGGATATCATGGGCTAGGTGGGAGGTGGTGATTTTTAAAACATGTTTTTTGCAATTAATTTTTTTATTTTAATTGATTGATTCAATTGATATATTAAACATAAATTATTTGTTACATCTTATAATAGGTTTTGAGTTAATTTATTGAGCACAAATCTTAGTTCTAATTAAATTGAACCCATGAAAATTACATTATAAATCTAATCCATTCATATTTTTAATCTTCATAAAAAAATAATTTAAACTATATATTTAACCCGCTCAGATTTAAAAAAATAAATCAAAATGGTTAAATATATAATTTATAAAATATCAAAAATTGAGTTGAATATAGTTATAAACTTAAAGTTGAATCAATTATAGGAGTGTTTGAGAGTGTGGCCGCGATTGTTTTTTAAAATATTTTTTATTTGAAAATGCATTAAAATAATATTTTTTTTATTTTAAAAAAATTATTTTTAATATCAACACATTAAAATAATCTAAAAACACCAAAAACTATTAATTTGAAGCAAAAATAAATATAAAAAATTTAATTTTTATTAAAAATATTTTTAAAATACAAAAACAAATATATATTTTTGTGCAATAACACCCATTATAAAGATCAACGAAACTCCATTAAGATTCTTTAACTCTTTTTAGTATAGTAGGGTAATAGGGTAATGGATGAAAAAACCTATATAGCCCCTTGTTTTGGTCTGACTTGACAGGCAAGTTTCTGTTTTACTCATGGAAAAATATAAAAACTAGGGATGGTTTGTGCTCATTGGCTAATGGTTTTTATTGTTTACTTTCCTTCATTTAAGGCTTTTAATAAAGGTTCGGTTTCAGTTAACCACAGAAGTTTTTAATGTCCAAAACCATGGGCTTTCTGCCCTTTGTTACTAGTAAATGTTGCATTAATTATAAAAAAAAATAGATATATAAGTTTTTTTATGTGTTGTTTTACATAAAAAAAATTCTAAGTATAAATTTAAAATTTTATGCAAGTATTTAATTAAATAAATTAAAAATTCTTTGTGTAAATAAAACAAAATTAAAAAACAGATATAAATCAAAATATTGATCTCGCAACACGAAATATTTACATAATTTACTGAATTTGTTTATTAAAATACTTTCTTTATTCAATCAAATAATAATAAAAACAAACATAAACATGAACTTGAATGAATAAAATTAAAGGAAAAAAATTTATATAAAACTACACATATTTAAAATATTATCTAAAAAATAATGTTTTTTATTTTGAAAAATAAAGTCCATCTATAAAAAACATAAACATAAATAAATAAATAAATATAGATGAATCATAATAATATCTATAAAATATATATATATATATATATATATATATATATATATATATATATATTTTGCACGTATACAATATTGTGATGATCGTCCTCCTAAATTAAGATTTTAGGTGTGTAGAAACAATAAGAAATTCTTACCTTTTTATAGTTTAAAATGTTTGGAATCGTCACATAGTATTTTGATTATTAGAAATCTTAACTATTCTTCAAAGTCTAGATAAGGAGATTAGTTATGTATAAAGAAGACAATATAACCCCTAATACTATTTTTTAAGATAAATTATATTATTTATTTTTCTAATTATTTCTAAAATCTTATTGAGTTTTACTATCTATTAGTATGTCTATTGATTAAAATGTATCGACATTAATAAGATGAACCATAGCTTAATGGGTCAAGCCATGCAAAATAAAGCATGAGGTAAAGTTGTTTTTAAGTTCATGAAGCATGCAAAATGTAAAATTTATTTTTGAATTTATTTCTCATTTACTTTCATATTTTTTGTATTTTTTAATTAAAAATTCAAAAATGATTATTTTGTAATAAACCTAACAATATGCAATTAAAAAATATTTGGTTAATTAAAAACAATTTTATCCATTTTTTTAACCATTTGTTTAAGACAAGCTAAAAAGACAGGCATGCACACATTTTTTTTCACTAATTTATTCGCACCCTACAATCACATATATTTAAAATCATCCCCAAATGTCAATCAAGATTACAATAATTAATTAATAAATAATTTTTCAAAGTTAAAAATTGAATGAAGGAGTTGTTAGAACTTAGGAACAACACTAGAGGACTCTAGAAGTGTAAGAACAATGGTGGTTGATGGGCCACGACTCTTATAAGAGATAAAAAGATCTTTTTGTGTTTTTTCTTTTCTTTTCATGTTGTATGTTAATGAATATACGGTAGCTGAAATGTGAGGGAAGTGAAAGGTTGATGGAGGCTAATGGGTTTTATTGGATAAAAAAGGATCTAGGGTTTTTTTTAGATGTGAGAGAGAAAAACAATTTCTCTTTTGTATTTATCTTTTTGTATGTAATTTTAGTATCCTCCCCTTTAGTTTTTTTTTTTTTTATAGCCTCCCTTATTTTTTAGATTTTTCTTTTACTATTTATAAGCAAAGTAATTTTGTCTCTTCCTCCCAATTATTTGGGCTGTAAATAACTTGGTTTTATCTTGGTCCCTCCATTTTCTTACTTTGCACTTTAGTCTCTTTTTTTTATTTTTTATTTTTTCCTTTTTATTATTTTTTATATTTTTATTTATTTAAAAAAAATCCAACATCAACTTGATGACAAAAATTATGTTATGACACTTGTCTCCTTTTTTTTTTTTAGATTAACGTGGGTGTCCGGGCCAGCTTGCGCGCACCACGACTAATCCCACGGGTCCTGAAGTTAACGACCATGTAAGCCTCCAGTGGCCATCATATGAGCAACCAAGGACTCGAACCTGAGACCACAGAGGGAGTAAACCCCTTGATCCCAAGTCCTTACCACTTGGCCACCACCTAGATGGTTACTTGTCTCCTTTTTAGATGACCTACTCGTGGTCTTTGATTAGGTAACCTATCTATTATGTAAAAAATATCTAGGATTTTTTAATGGTTTATGTTCGAGTGACTTGCCTGTGATTTGTGGTAAGAAAACCTCTCATGGTCTCTAATAGGGGGACTTGCCCGAGGTTTGTGATTGGGTAACCTGCCTATTGCGTGAAAAATTATTAGGATTTTTAATGAATAGTCCATGTTTGGGTAACATGCCCGTGGATTATGACCGGGTAACCTACTCATGATTTATGATTGGGTGACCTGCTTATTGTGAAAAATATCTAAGATCTTTCATAAATGAAATAATTGATTTTGAGTGATGATATTTTTTAATAGTGTATTGGATTTTTTTTAGAAAATGTCTTACCTTTTTTTTTTTAGATGAACCATCTTCTCATATTTTTTGGATTATCCTTGTTGGACTTCTAATCATCAAATTGAGTCTTATTGTACTTTTAATTATCAAATTGAACCTTATTGAGCTCAAAACCTTGTTATGTCCT